GACATATGCCATGTGATTTCACTTAGATGTGGAACCTAAAGAACAAAATTAACAAACAAAACAGAAACAAACTCAGATACAAAGAATATTTTGATGGTTGCCAGATGAGAGGAGGATTGGAGTGTGAGTAAAAAAGGGAAAAGGATTAAAAAGTACAAATTGGTTGTTACAAAGTAGTCATGGGGATGTAGGGTATAGCATAGGGAATATTGTCAATAATATTGTAATAACTATGTATGGTGTCAGATGGGTACCAGATTTATTGAGGTGATGGATGGGAGAGGCATTGTGGGGCAGGGTGGAAAAGGTGAAGAGATTAAGAAATACAAATTGGTAGTTACTAAGTAGTCATGGGGATGTAAAGCATACGGAACATAGTCAATGATTTGGTAATAACTATATATATAGTGCTAGGTAGATACTAGACTAGTGAAAAGGGTCCCTTCTTAAATTATATAAATGTCTACCCACTATGCCATACACCTAAAGTTAATATAAAATAATATTGAATGTGAAGTGTAACTTAAAATTTAAAAAGGGGAAAAAGAGGTGAAGGGGAATAAGAATTCCAAATTTCCAGGTATAAAGCAAATAAATCGTGGGGATGTAATGTACAGCATAGGGAATATTGTCAATAATATTGTGATAATGTGGTACCGTGTCAGATGGTGTTGGACCTATCATGGTGATCACTTCTTTAGGTATATAAATGTTGAACAACTATGGTGTACACCTGAAACTAATATAATATTGTATGTTAGCTATATATATATATATTTTTTAATTGGGGAATTGGGGGGATGGGAACAGTGCTGGGGAATTGGGGGAAGGGGAACAGACAAGTTGCTGCCGTTTTGTTCTTCAGTCTAGTTGTGGAGGACGTTGCTTCACTGGCCCAAGTTGGCACCATCATTGCTCTCTTCCTGGGCGAGGCAGATCAGTTGCCGGCTTCTGGACGGCCGCTCACTGCGGCTGCTGGCCGCTGGCTACATATGGTAGCCTATGCCAACCCACTGCCACAGGGGCTACAGCCTACGCCGTCGCCAGCGACTCACAGCAGCCCAGCTCCAGGTTGAGCTGTTGTTCAGCATCTTAGCTATGGAGGGCAGTGTCACTGGCCCTCATATGTGGGATCCGAACCGGGGCCCTCTGGCGTCCCAAGCCAGTTCTTAACCATCGCGCCACTCGGCCGGCCCTGTTAGCTATATTTTTAATAAAAACCTTTAAAACAACAACAACAAGAAAAAGATCAGAGGGAAAATCAAATAAAGAACAAAAACAATCGAGTATCAATGAAACCAAGAGCTGGTTCTTTGAGAAAACCAATTAAACTGATGAACTTCCAGGCACACTGATCAGGAAATAAGACAGAAGACACAAATTATTTATATTACTACAGACTCTATTGAATATAAGAGTAACACAGCAACATTATGAACAACTTTCTGCCAACAGATGAAAAGAAGAAATTCCTTGAATATAAAAAGGCTACTCAAGTTTACTAGGCTGCAAAGGTTCATAGCTGCACGTTCTCCAGAGAATTGTTCTTGGCAGAATGGGACCTAGCTACCTGGAGATTTTGTGCCCCTCCAGGGGGCAACCTACAAATAATAACCAATTGATACATGGGTTAGAAAAATCAATCCACCCAACCTCACTCTTACCTCACTAGGAGCGATTCTGTGGTGCAATTCCCGTTCTTGAGGTCCCGGTGGGACCAGGCTGAAACTAGGCTGAAGCTTACATCCTTAGCTTCATCCTTATTCCGTTTTCTTCCCCTGCCTTATCCTGCTTCCTAGAGTTCTCCTTCAATAAATTATTTGCTCAAGGTTCCCTGTTTTAGGCTCAGCTTATCGGCAACCTGACCTAAGACAGGGCACAAGATGGAGGCTGGAAGGCACACGATGAGAGAAGGGACTTGCTTCTTCCTCTTACCTTGCTGTTCCTGTCTGCATCTCCTTCACAATAACACCTTATTTTATGTTATGGATTAAACTGTATCCTCCCCCCTCTGTCCGCCCCCCACACACACACACACACAAAAGATGGTAAAGTTCTAACCCGCAGTACCTGTGAATGTGAACTTATTTGAAAATAAGGTCTTTGCAGATGATCAAGTTAAGATGAGGTGAACCTTAACCCAGTCTGACTGTTGTCCTTATAACAAGGGGAAATGTGGAGGCAGAGACAGACACGCACAGAGGGAGTATGATGTGAAGACACAGGGGGAACACCATCTATGAACCAAGGAGAGGAACCCCTGAGGCTACAGAACTAGGAGAGAGGCTCAGAGTAGACTCTCCCTTGTATCCCGCAGAGGGAACCAACCCCACCTACACTTTGATTTCAGACACCTACCCTCCAGAACTGAGAGTGCATTTCTGTTGCTCTAAGCCACCTAGTTCGTGGTACTTTGTTATGGCAGCCCAGGACGCTAATCCGACCTGCTAGTGGCAGTTGGTTCCAGTCTCCAGGTTTTTTTTGCAGCACTCCCAGAATCAACCCTGTTCAACATCTTGGGGGGATCCGCATTGGCTGGGCAGCAGCCCCATCTCCACAGTTACATCAGGGCCCTCTGATCCGCTTCTAGGTTCTGTTAGCCCTGACTTCCTTTGGTCCTCAGTCACTAGGGATGGGAGCGGCTTCCTGAAGTTACTGTTGTACTTGTGTTCCCTTTCTGCTTTTTCAGTTTCCAGACATCCATTTAACCAGTTTTTTATATTTAATTCACTCGGTGGAAATACGACATAGCTAGCAGAGTTTCTTTACCTCTGATAAGACCCCTGAGTGATCACCAGTTCATTCTGAGTAAAAGCCAAAGTCCACGACATAACTTATGCGATTGTGTGCTCTCCGGGCCCCTGGCTCCTTCTCTGCCCTCATTTCCTGCCATTTCCTCTGTCACCCACTCTGCTCTAGCCACACTGGTCTCTTTGCTAATCCTTAAACATACCAAGCATGCTCGCTTCTCGGCCTTTGACTTACTGTTGCCTGTGCTCGCAGACATCTGCATGCACATGGATTGCTGCTTCAAGTTTTGGCGCAAATCTCCATGCCCTGGTCTCTGCCCATACCGCTGCAGACACCTTTCCTGACATTGTATAGTCACGGGACACATGACGACCTTTCAGTTAAATGGCAGACCACATATATAAAGGTGGTCCCATAAGATTATAATGGAGCTGAAAAGTTCCTAATGCCTTGTGACATCACAGCCATAACAATGTCATAACATCCTGCATAGTGCAAGGCATTACTCATGTGTTTGTGGTGACGCTGGTATAAACAAACCCACCACGCTGCCAGTCATAAAAAACCACAGCACACGCAATTATGTCCAGTCCATAATGCTTGATAATGATAGTAAACGGCTGTTACGTTTATGTATTTATTATACTATATATTGTAACGTTAGCATGTACTCTATTTATAAAAGTTTATGGTAAAACAGTACACTGTTATTACCCCAGCAGCAGTCTCCTACAACTCGAGCTTACCGTGCCCGTTGATCGCATCATTTTCTCTAGGACTTGACTTAATCTCGTGTTGTTTTGTACAGTAACATGCTGTACAGGCTTGTAGCCTAGGAGCAATAGGCTAGACCATACAGCCTAGGTGTGTGGTAGGCTGTCCCATCTAGGTCTGTGTTATGTGCCCTCTATGATGTCTGCACGACACATTGCTCACCCCAAGGTATCCCCAGTGTTAAGCGGTGCATAACTGTATATAAATTACCTCCTAACTCCCTGCACTCTTTCCACATGACCCCTTTCTCTATAGCATCCACCACCTTCTGGCAGGTTGTTATCTGTCTTCCCCAGTAAAGCGTGAGCTCCATGAGACAAATTTTGTTCACTGCATGTCCCCAGTGCCCAGAGCAGGGTCTGGCACACAGCAGGTGCCAAATTTTGAAAGAAAAATGGAACAACTAAAGAAACCCTTCCTGGCAGCACTACCATTGTGTCAGTGTACTTGAGCTATAACCAGTATTTAATTTTTAAAAGCTGTGTATTTATTCTTTGGCTTTGTTGGCTGCCCTTCCAGTAAAATCCCACTTTAAGCAATGTCTTCTGAAATTCTTCAGTGATAATGCACTTTAAGATTTGTCTTCCCTTCTGTTTAACAATTAAAATTTTTTATAATGTAAATATTTCCTCCACTTCAAGCCTTTAAAAAGTATGAAGTCAAACAAGATAGGCCAGTCAGCGGCATTTATTGAGAGGCTGGCACTGTATGATGAAACTGAACTAGACTCTTTGCTGAGGCGACCAAAGAAAGGAACGTAATTCCTGTCCCCAGGGAGCTTACCGTCTCATGGCTATTCAACTCCCACGTATGAAAAACATCTCCGAGTTTTCAACAATGCACAAATGAAAACAGAAAATATAGTACATAAGTGCTGGTTAGATGAGACACAATGGCTGAAGGGTCGTTCGAACTAGAATAATTCCTATAGGTTGAGTGAAAAGCCAGAATTTAAAGATGGATAAGGATTAAGTTCAGAAAGAAGAAAGGGTACTTGCAAAAGGAAATGACAAATACATGAGCATAACTTCATTAGTTACCTGGAGTCCATAAACTACACTACGAATTGGGCCTTTCTTAGTTACCTACTTTTTTCCATGCTTTCCCTTTAATGTATCGTATTCTATTCTGAATTCACATGCTTCTGTACTTTACACGGCAGGATGGAATCACTTCATAAACTCCTTTGGACTCACCCTTCAGGTCTCAGCTGAAATGTCACTTTCACAGAGAGGCTTTCTCCAGTCACTAAATCTGAAATAGTGTACCCTGTTATTGTCCTTCTTGGCATTTCTTTGATAGCCCTGCCTCTGTCTTCCTTACTAGATTAATTACCTAAAGGCAGGGTGTTTGTATTGTTTTCCATCACTGTATGCATATTGCTTAATGGTGCCTGGCGCTTAATATATAGTTGTTGAAATGGAATGAAATAGTGCCTATTTCTGTGAAGGCCATAAATCCATATATAAAACTGATTGCAATATCTAAAAGAATTTTATTTTAAACATTTACTAAATTTAAGTTGTGTTAACTTCTGATACATAGGAATGTGTATTGACATCACTATACATATATATAGAGAGAGATAGATAGATATAGATATGTACATACATAACTCATATATATGGTAATATTTGGAGTTTTACCTATTTAATTTCAACTGTGTCAAGTACGTCATCTTTTACAATAAACCTAAATTCTTCGTAACAATCTTTAACGCACCTGAGGTAATCCTGGATAGGACTGGGGTGTGGGGGTGGGATGGTCTGAGTTGCCCCCAGCCTATAACAGGGTGCCTTGGTGCAAACTGAAAAAAGGAGCCACCTTGTCTGGGTAGACACGGCCATGCACCAATACACTTCGCTGGGTGAGTAAAGCACGGGCAGGATTCCAGCTCCCCATCGGCTGCCTCCGCCAGGTGCTCTTCCTCAGGGCACCACCTCCATGTAGATGGCAGTCCTGGAGGGGGCTACTCAGCGCTGGTGCGAGCAGAAGATGGTGACCTGGTCACCCTCGTGCAGCTCCATTCCTTGCTTAAAAACAAAAACAAACAAACAAACAAACAACACAATTTAATTTGTCCGGATGAGTTTGGTTGGGTGGGGATCCCTTCTTCTCCTTCTCATCACTTCTGATGATTTAGCTGAAGAGGGAGGTCTTCCTGATGAAAGAAGAGCATTTTTCATGTTCAAGTGTGCAGATGGCTGTGCAGCCTCTAGGTGGGCTTTCAAAGTTTCCTCTTAGGAAATAACCTGATGTTGATTCTTGATTCCTGGAAAATTATGCTGTCCGTCTGACTGTAGGTGAGCTTAGCAATTTCCTTCTGCAAAAAAAAAAAAATGAATACCAGTTAGTTCACTTGTACAGCACTCTGCTTCGTGACTGGAAATTCTATCAGTGGCGCTGAGGATAAGTTCAGCTCTCTCGTCAGTGACCCTAATTATTGACTGTCATGACTAACAACAGATGGGGTCAATTCTAGCTCCCACGTATCAAGAAAGAACAAGTTTGTCTCATTTCCATAATCCTTTATAAATTCTCTATATCTTGAAACTTAGGGTCATAGGTTATAACGGCTGCATAATTTTTTGAAACCAAAATTAATTTACATTTACGATGTCCTTAGTCTTAACGCACAACCATAAGAGAGGCCTGTTTCAAACTACTAAGATGAATTCATCACTGAAATATAATTTTTAAAGGATTTTTATTTTGGAAAAAGAACATAAAACTTGTATTTGGGAATAAAGCCTTGGATGGTGGAAAACAACCTAGATTGGGTCCCTGCATCCTGGTTTCTGAACTACCTAATTAGATGAGATTGTGTAAAACTGATTTAATCTTGATGCAGTTCATCTTCAGATCTGTTTACTAAATGAGAGATTAAAGTCTTCAAGTCCTTATAACTCTATTATTTATTTTACATTAAAAGTGCTCAAAGCAAGAAGAATGTCAGACAAAACATCTGTGAGTCAGAAGAGGCATTTGTGATCACATGTATACAGAAATCATGGATATACAACAGCCCCTGGGAGAAATGGTACGTTTGTTACAGGGACCCTACAATGAGCTAAGGAATGGGCCAAATATTCCAGCATATTCTTCTGGTTATTCTCATCGGTCACCTTTTTGGGGAAAAACCGAACTCCACTTGTAAATCCGGGCCCTGTAAATGAATGGGGTAGAAGCCTTACCTCGCCACTGCGCCCACTTGAACAGTAATTAGTTCCGTCAGCTATCCATCTCCACCATCACCAACTTTCACGTTAGCTTGGCAAAATCCATGTCCCAGAAGTAAAGCTAATCCAAATATGGCGAACATTTCTCCTTTGCCAAAATGGGAAAACTGCCTTATCTCCTCTTCAAAATCCATCCACCGGAAAATCAGCCCCCCTGTTAAATAGTCAAGTGGGAAGAAAGCACATTGTGTGTGCAATCCCTTAGAGGTCTGTCCTGATGCCAAATTGCAGGGATCCCGTAAACGTCAAGTGACCATTCTTGACAACGAACAGATAGATCTTTTGAGAAACACTTTCTTTGGGCAGACTTTGTCTAACTGAGGGAAAGTTTAATTTATTTAGGCACACAGGATATATAGGGCATCCCGCTTCGGGACGCTCGCAAAACTGCTATGAATTCTTTCTCCAGAAGTAATGCCTCTGGATTTACACCCCCGGGGAAATCTCCCCAGGATTTTTTTTTTCTTTTCTTGATTTAAATTGAACGCTGATTCCGCGGCCTCTCTTCTACCTGGCCGGGGAACCTACGCTCCTCCGTTCGGGGGAGGAGCCAGCAGGGCCCCGCCGAGCTCCAGGGCACAGGTGGGGCCCTGGAAGGGGGCGTCGGAGGCCAGCCGGCTGAGGCGGGGGCAATGCCTCCGGGAGGCAGGCTCGGCCCCCGACACCCCACCCCACGCCACGCGCACGCGCTCGGGCCGTTTCAGTGGCGCACAGGACCTGCGGCAAGGATGGGTAGGGAGGGTACCTCTTCTCGAAACCGTCTTCAAACCATCGCAACGTGCTCAGCAGCTCGCAGCATCTGGGTTGTACCCTCGCCTCTAAACCAGACCCCCAGGAAGATCTCTAGCGACTCGAGCTTCACACTGAACATCATCGGGGAACCGGGGGGAGTCCGTGCGGGCCAGGAGAGGGAAGGAGGCCAAAAAAGGCTCCCTCCCGCCAACTCCAGCCCACTCGGTTCATCCTCCCCCGGGGCGAGGGGCGGGCCGGGGCCGGGAGGCCCTGCAAGGGGCCCCTCCCTTCTCACCTCCCGCGGCCCACTCTTACTCACTTTCTCTCGGAGCCTCAGCGCGACCGCCTTTGGCCCGGGGTCGTGCGGAGGGGCCGCGAGCAGGAGAAAGGAACCCGCGCGGACTCGGGGCCGCGACCTCGCGCCAGGTCGGCGGGCCGGAGGGCCAGGATCGCGGACGCCCCCCCTCTCCCCGGGCGCCCCCGCAAGGCGGGCGCGCTGGAGGCCGGGCTCCGGGGGGGACTCACCCGGGCCCCCCACCTCCGCCCGCCGCCGAGGCCCACGGCCCCTCCCTGCTCATCCCCAAGGCCGAGGCCCCGGGGGACGCGCTCGCGCCGGGGCCGCCCCCTCCCCTCCCCCCAGCCCGGGCGGGGGCGCAGGAGAAGCGGTGACGTCAAGGGGCGCGCGGTGGCGGCACCTCCCCGCGCGCTAGTTAAAAAGAAGAAGAAAAGAGGGAACGAAACATGAGAGGCTGTGTGAGAAGCTGCAGCCGCCGGCAGAGGAGACCTCAGCATCATCCGGAGCCCAGCGCTCGCCCTGCCTTCGCCTGCCCCGCCGCCGCCGCCGCCGCCGGTGCCGTGCCTGCTACTGTCTCACCTAAACTCTCGTTACACGGACAAGTGAACCTCTGTGGCCGTCTTCTCCTCCTCTTCCTCCTCCTCTTCCAACTCCTCCTCCTCCCACTTCCCAGCCGCAGCAGAAAGCCCCTAACCCAACTGACACTGGCACGGCTACAAACGGTGTCATCCGCACAACTTTTCTCTCGCTCCTCGGGCTCCCCTAAGGCACTGGACCCATCGCCTCGTCTTTTATTTTTTTGCAAAGTTGCATCGCTCTACATATTTTCGCCCCCGCCACCTCCCTGCCTTTCGAGTGTCCAGCCGCCCCGCAGCCTCCTCCTGGAGCTGCGTCCTAGTGCCCCTGCTGGGCAGTGGCGTTCCCCCGCAAGCCGCCCGCGCCCAGCCCTGGCCGCTCGGGGCAGACGATGCTGAAGATGCTCTCATTTAAGCTGCTGTTGCTGGCCGTGGCTCTGGGCTTCTTTGAAGGAGATGCTAAGTTTGGGGAAAGAAGCGACGGGAACGGAGCGAGGAGGAGAAGGTGCCTGAATGGGAACCCCCCGAAGCGCCTGAAAAGGAGAGACAGGCGGATGATGTCCCAGCTGGAGCTGCTGAGCGGGGGAGAGATGCTGTGCGGCGGCTTCTACCCGCGGCTGTCCTGCTGCCTGCGGAGTGACAGCCCGGGGCTGGGGCGCCTGGATCACAAGGTAGGCGCTCACCCGCCTCGCCCATGCGAGATTGGCTGGGTGGGGTTCCCTGTGGCTCCGGCAACGTTGGTGTCTGTGAGAAGGGCGAAACGTGTTCGGGCAGTTCATTTTAATAACTTTTCTAAAGCACGAGCCCGATTCCGTTGTGTGTTCCTCCGGGGTGCGCAGACACCTCTCCCGCCCCCAAGAGTCCACGGTCGGGATGCTGTTGCAAAACTGCCTGTCTCAGAAAAGACAAGCTTCTGTGGTACTCGCATTCAGGGATGGGTAAATATTTTAAAAGAATCGCGATTAACAGTGTGTTTTGGATCGAATCGGGCATTGGCTGCGGTGCAACTGTAAATTAAGGTGGCTGTGGTTTCCGGTTTATTTTTCTAGGGTGAAAAGATTTGTGCTGCTTTCTCCACGTGCTCGGTTAGGCAGAGGAGTGAATCGTAAAGGATATTGAAGCATGGTTGGTTTATGATCCTCAGCCCCGTCAGAGGGGGTTGTCCAACGTTACAATCGTTGAACAGCGAAAAGGGAACTCCTGGTACTCGAGTTGAGAACACGAAACACTGGCGAAAGATTTTGCTGGGCGTATTTATCACATGAAAAGGAGACGATTCTCTGTCTCCGTTTGTCATGTTATAAATTCAGGCTTTCAATGGTATTTAGTTGTCTAGGAAGATCTCCTCCAGAAACTTTTTCAGGAGTAAGGGCCTTTACATGTTCCTTGAGTTAACAAGTTTAAACAAATACGAAAACAGTGTTGGTTGTGTGAAAAGACATGCTTATTTTTGAGTTTGCGACATCGTTCTTGCCATGGGATGCAGTAATGTGTGCTGTTTACTGTACTCCAAAGAAAGACTGGGGGATCCCATCATTAACAACCACTGCACGTGAAATAAACAATCAGGTGTCTTTGCTCCCCCTCCCCTTTCCCCATTTTAGGTTTAATTAAGAATTCCTCTGTTACAACACAGCAATTGTCAAGGTCTGAGAGACTCTTGGAAAACTTGTGCTTCAGTCTTGCTGGCCCAGGCATAATAAAAAAAAAATACCCAGGCTGAATCTAATTTTTATGCTCAGTTCACGGTAGATTTCACTCTATTCTCATGTAAACAGCTCCTACGAATCAACATATGTGTCTGGGTGGTATCTCTCACTTTGTTTTGTAACAAAAAGCCATATTGCATCATTTAATTTGCTCAAGTCATGCAAATAGGAAAAAATCAATAGGACAAAAAGGGGTCGACTTATCCTCCTCCCCACTAAACTGCTGCCCACACACAGAGTCCTGTTGCTTATGGCAAAAGAATAACAACAACACCATTGTGTTTGTTAGTTGGTTCACTAATGGGTGAAACTAGAGAACATCATTCTCTTTCAGTCCCCAGCTCTGTCCAAATGTTCATGCCTTTTGAGGGAGCATTTGTCCAACTCCCTCTATTCCCCAATGAGTGAGAACTGTCTTACTGCAGGTTTTCAGCTGCAACTCTCTCTTTATTCTTACCATATGCAGCAGTAGTCTGAGATTCGGGGAGCAGATATTCCAGCATTTTATTCAAAACAATGTCATTAAGCTCCTGTGTTGTAATTGAATTAAGTTACAGAAGAGCTACATTCACATCATCTGCAGGGTTTTACCAGGAGCCCAAAAGAACCAGGAACTTCAGAGGGAGGGTTAGAAATATATGCCATTAAATCTCTCTGTGTGCAGTGTACCCTGAGTGCACACACAACCCTGATCTGCAGACCCCTGAAAGACTAAACTCTTCCAGGAACACGAGGAATGAAAACTTAGTTCTTAACTAAATATAGTGGAGGATGAGGAGGGGGGTGGTGACTGAGGGGAGTTATAACCCTAAAGAGAAGTTACATATAAAAAAAATTTTTTTTAAAGAAATCATTCTTTAGGAAGCAATCTGCCACGTTAGCTATCCACATTCCTTTCTGTTTTATGTGTTTCCAATCTCCCAACAAACCCCTAACTCGTTTGGGAAATGTCTCTGAATTAAATTTGGTACATTAGACTTTGCTGGTTTCATTACAAATGGTTTATAAACCAACAATACTCAAATTGTTCAAATCAGAGATGGATATAGCTATGTCTATGCATTCTTGACCTATGTTAGCTCTCAGGTTTTAATAGTTTTTAAAACATGTTATTTTATAATAAACTTCAGTGTTTCCCTTCTTCCCCTAAGCCTTCCTGGTTTATAATATATGTTAGGATCTTATTTCATAATGTGTGTACAGGAGAGTGATGGCTATTTGAAAGGGCCCTTTTTTATTTATGAAAAAAAAAATTTCCCCCCCAGAAAGATTTCTGCAACTTTTCAAGAAACTACAGGAGTACCTTTTCCTATGGGAAGAAACTTCATAGACAAATAATAGATAGTAGCAAACTAGGTAGGAATATTGAGCATAGTCAGCTGTGCAAATAAATCCAGTTTCCAGACTAATACAGTTTCTTTAATGTAATGAACTAGCATTGAGTTCAGTTCTTTAGACATGGTATTATGCTTTGATAGTCTAATTTTTTGGGTATATTTTAATAGTTTTGTGTGTGTTGTAGCAAGGTGGCTGATTACCATTCTTAATAAGTATTGCCAAAATTTAGGAAGTTGTATTGTCTTAGCAATATTTTCGCAGCTCCTAAATACAACATGCTAAGAGGATCTAATTCCCATTAGCCAAATTGAATCCACAGCCAACTGAAATAGCCCCGTTTCTAAAACTTAACTTGCAGCCACAGAGGCATAGAAGCTCTCTCTACCTTGGGTGGCTTCACGGCCAAAGCTGTCAAGGAATGGGTGAGAAGTAATTGTTTTCAAGTGTGCCCTTTCACAATCATTTGTTTGCTCTGGCTCTTTCAGGGACAAAGGCTATTGTTGAACACATCCAACTAAACAAATAACTCATCCTGGGGTCCCTTTAACAGCTGCCTTCGTACAATGATCTATTTACATATTAGCCTAAAATTGAAACTGAACTCTTTAATGACATAATCCAGCACTATAGTCCTGAGACGCATGTGTTCTACCCAACAGCTGAAGAACCTTGTAGGCATATGATTTTTAGAAATAACTTTTTTGTGGACCAAGTGATCTTAAGGCGGCATCTTAATATACTGTCATGTATTTTTTCCTTTTGTCCGCTCCTTGGACATGTGGGTGACTTTTTATCCTCTTTGTTTAGTTACTTGATAAATAAAGAGAAATACAGAAGGTCTCTGTCACCCATTTTACTATTCGTTGATAAGTGATGGTTGTAGGCCACGCTTCTCTGTGTATCCCAGGATTTATCTTACCGTTCTCCTATGGATTTCATTTTCATGTGGCTAAAGATTAAAGGATGACCTGCCAGATGTTATAAATTAGTCAGCAACAGCCACAATCATTACTAGGCACGCTGTAATAATGTTTCGAAGTTTTACATGATTTCCAAAGTATATTTAAACGACTATAATTTGATGGTTTCATATATGGCTTTTAAAAATCGCAACAGGAAATTAGCCTAAATTTCTTCTTAAGATTGATGACATTGTCAGACATAAAGTTAGGGACCTATATAGACACAGACACTCAAGCCGAAAAGAAGAAAAAAAAAATACCCTACACACACCAGTTGCATCTGTCTAAAAACACTGTTGCAGCTTGGACTGAGTTTAATTGACTTCAGTAAGACTATTGGTTCATTGAAACCAAAGCCAGAATGATGGCTCTATCTATCTTCAAATAGGTATTTACACTGCAGACCTCACACAGAGCAAAATGTTACCATCCTGCTGGGCCGGAACAGCATGAAACTTTACAAAGAATAATATTATACTTGATTTCAGATAATTTATTGAATCCTATTTCTGAAACTTTTGATGAGAGATCTTGTGGCCAGGACACATTCCAAAAATTGTAAAAGACAAAATTCTTTAGGCACTAAAATCAAGCTCTTCCTGGATAGCAGCTGGGAGAGTATATGGGGATCATTTTGTTTCAGCTATAAAAAATGGAAGCATGCATATTCTCCATAAAACCAAAGGTAATTACATTCCAGTTTTTCAGCCAGCAAAAGAGGTGGTTTCAGCATCCTGCAGTTGTTTTGTTCTTACAGGACTGCTGTATGATAAACAAACAGGACAAAGTTGAACAGTATTAATATTGAATAGATCTGGTGAGGTCTGCCAGAGTATAACAATAAAAGACATTTAAAACATTCTTGGAATGCAAATTCTAAGTGTCTGGTGTATGTTTCCTTTTAGAAATCTTTAACCATTTAAGCAATCATCATTTAAATAAATTGATAAAAATTAAAATGTAAACATAATGGTGATTCATGACTTTTCTGAATATTGTAGATAGTTACAACATATTTTTTTCTGAAATAGGGTAATTTCTGTTGGACTTTTAATTACTGCATGCTAAAATTTCAGCATGCTTGTATTCAAAGATTTTTTTTAGTTCCTTAGCTCTTTCAGATCCAAATTTTGTGATCACCTAGAATATCTTTATCCTATAAAGATACAAAGTTCTATAAAAACAGAGCCATACAATTGACTCAAATTAGAATCTCAACCTTTGAATGAAATATTTGCTTTAAAAAATGACCTAGCATTTAAAACATTAATTTTAGTCCATAATTCTAAAGAAATAAATAATTAAGTATAAACACAGTTACATAAACTGAGAAAAGGTATATTATGGTGTTTCTAATATGAAAAATCAATTATCGATTTAGACAGCATTGCACTTCACATCTCAAATATTGTGCAGATATTGTTCTTCTAGATTTATTAGAGGGATTCCCGAAGTCAATTTTTAAAAAATTAGTATTAGATACTGAGACCTAATTTTGTCTACAAATTTCTAACCTCAATGAATCAATGACTCCTAAATTGGTCTTATTGAAGTAAAAGACATACTACTATATAAATAAGGATAAAAGTATGTTTTTTCCATTTAAACTTACTAAATACTATACAAAAGCACTTTTATTAGACTCTTGTGTTTATTCATGCATATAACATACCTGAGGAGCTAGTTAGGAACTTTTTCCTGGCTAAGATATAATGAATAATAAAAAATGGTCTTAAACCTGTTTGATTCAACTTCAGGTATTACTTTATAGAACATTAAAAGGAGACAGTTCCCTCACAGCAAACCTTCCTTATGCAATCTATAGATTGAAAATTAGTTGAACTTAGAAAAATGTAATTCAAGTAACATCTTTGCGAATATCCATTAGGAATTTCAAGAGTGAAATGGATTTTTACCTAAGACACAAGTAAGCCGTGTTTTAAAAAAGTCCTGCTTTACATACAGTTGGATACAGGTATTAGGAATTTTAAAGTTAAGTATCAGTCAGTATGCACATTGAGGCAGAGTAAAGTGATAGAGGGTGAAAGGGACTAAATATAATTGTCATTTAATTTCTCACACCTGAAAAACAAATAAACAGACTGCAATTCGAGAGTAAGAAGCATTTTTGTGTTATCCCCCTACCCTTTGCTCTCCCATCTCAACTCAAGAGACGACATGTGTCCTTATAAAGGCATTCTCTACTGTGACATGGTAATTCTTTTCAGACAAACTGCCTTGGCTAAATTATACTTTTCTACTTACATGATTACAAAAAAAAAAAGTAACTAAATCTAATGTCACATAACTAAAAAGAAGTTTGTTTCTGATTTATGGCTTTCAGATATTTTCTGTTACCAACAACACCGAATGTGGGAAGTTACTGGAGGAGATCCAATGTGCGCTTTGCTCTCCACACTCTCAGAGCCTGTTCCGCTCACCTGAGAGGGAGGCCTTGGAAACAGACCTGGCGCTTCCCCTGCTCTGCAAAGATTATTGCAAAGAATTCTTTTATACTTGCCGAGGCCATATTCCAGGTAAAAAAAAAAAAAAGCATTAATTAAATAAACTACTGGGGGATGATATCCTTACAAGATACCTGTTCTTAAACTCTTGCATACAAGAATGTAAAATTTATCTCATCTTTCAAAATACCTATTTTTACCTCATAATTAACCTTCTCAACTTGGAAATCTTTTATTGCTGCTCAGAGGGATTACTGTCATTTCAGTCTACAAGCAGTCTGTGGGTTTTGTTGAAATGTTTTACATTTCTTGTTAAATTGATAATACAGTTGGTAATCTTTACACACGCTGGATTGGCAGTACGAATTTCTTGTTGGTGTCTTCTTTACTCATCAATGTCACTATCAAGACAGGCTCCTCTTCTACATAACTGACACATACGTCCAGACTGTCCACTGACTTTTAAGGTATTTCCTTAAATAAAATATGATTCAAAATCCAAAAACATAAACACCTTACAAAGCATTTTCACATATAATGACAAATTTGCTACTCAAAAACCCTGGGAGGTAGGTAGGAAAGGTGGAGTCATAGCCGTTTGACAGATGAGGAAAACTGAGCTCCGGGAGTGTTGAATGGCTTAACCAAAGTTGCACAGTGAGAAAGTGATAGCATAGGTGTAGGAGTTCTTATGCTTACAGTCTCCCAAACATACCTGGTCACTATCATATTTTGGACCCTAATAAACAGATAGATTCTTGGGCATTGATTAATGTTACCATCAAAAGTTTGTAAACTTTGGTTGTTGGTTTAGTTGGAAGAATCAACACAGAGGTAGAAAAGAATTTAACGAGACAGATTCTGTTTAGTTAGGCAAAGTCACACACAAACAAATCTACTGAAGCTAACAGTTTATAACACTAAATGGCACTGAAGGAAAAGACAAGCTCTAGAATGCACTTGGAGAATTTTTTTTAAGTGCTATGCACATTTCACTTTTTTTCTCTGACCCAGAAAAGTGTAGATTTTTGTATTTTTTCATAGAGCTCTCTTAATAACCTAAGAAAACATTTTGACTAGGGTTGCTTGCTTCCTTTGGTGTGCCATAACATGTATCTAAACCCATTCAATGTGAAAATATTATTATTGTCTTTATAAACGACAGCCATGTTTCTAAGGCTTTCCTTAAGCCAGCTGTTTTCTTCCTTTTTATCACATTCCCCAAAGCAAAGTAGAATAGGTCACGGTTGCCTAGATGGCCTGTCGAGAAGCGATAACAGATTAGGTCCCAGAAAGGTTTGCTGAAAATTTCAAGTCTTGAAGGTTTGTCTTTACCACTGTGAGCTGAAAGTGATACCAACACTTCACATTTTCATCTACCTCTATCTCCTTGAGATAAAGCCAACCATGTTGGATTTGGGGACTCATCTGTGGGGGTCCTTCCTCTATCTGAAGTTATTTTAGCTTGCAAAGCAAACAACCAAAAGCAATATCCACTGTAAGAGAGAGAGCACAGCAAACAGCTCAGGAGCCAGAAGTGCAAGCACCTCACTCCCCAGATCAACATATGTGGTGACGAATGACAAATTTATTTTTCTACAGAGTTTGTATATATGTAAAACTGCTGAAGTGCATCAAGATGTCAAGTGCTTTTGGTGGCCACCCAGGCTGCCCTGAAAGATAACCAGATGAAAGCTCCACTCTAGTGGTGGATGGAGCAGCAAGGGTGCTTTCCGAGGACAGGCTAGCTTGCCTCAGCAACAACCAGAGGGCGCTTCCTCTGTATCCATCAAATACTAATCATCTTTCTAAATACTGGTCCCCAAAGCAAGTTGTAATAACAGGCTCTTGGTGTTACTAATGTTGATCTATTTGCTAGCCAGGCTGATCCTTGGCACGTAGATTATCATTTCCTAAACTATGATGAATATGATGGTAATCCTTCCCTCAGTCCTTGCCCCCAACCCAGAAGGCTCTTTAGAATTCTAGAACACTCATTTTTCAGCAATTGCTCAAAAAGCAAACTTGTAATATTTTGCCCGTAAGTCCATTTAATGACATGGTTTACTTTTCTCTGAAGTTCAAAGTTGTTAAAAACATTTTTTTTTAAATCAGCTACTCTGTGATTCTTTTTTTTTAAATAAAGAAACTAGTCAATGTATTTTGACTGTCCTCATTAATAGCCTCATCTTTCTGCAAATCAGAAACATGCAGAAGAAGGTAGCCTGTACCCTAAGGGGTGTATTTTGCTAAGAGAAGGCAAATACTGAGAGGGGTTGAGAGAGAGAAAAAATAATTCTAGAGATATCTTCATTTCTTCCCCCATTGCCCAATACATAAAAAAATAAATAAATGTATAAATGATCTATCTCTTTGCTTCACCTTCATGGCTTTAAAGAAAGCATCAGTCACTTTAGCATACACATACGCCTGGAAAGATAGGTGCTTTCTAGAAACTTTAATTCAGAAATATTCATGGTCTGCTTATTTTCCCCAAAATGAAAAAAGTTAAACATCACTATAGTGAGGATACACTAGAGTTTTATTAATCATAATATTCTCCAGTTATGAATTTACTTTGGGGGGTAAATTCTTAAAACTTCTAAAAATAGCAAAATTTAAACACACATGTGCACACACATGAGCTCCTTTGTCAACACCACAGGTCTTTTCGTCCTCCTGAATTATGACGAATAGAGTTGATGCTTTGCTTTTCACTAAATGATGTCATAATTCGCTCTGTGGAAAGCATATAAAAGGGTATCTTTTGGCCTTGCTTCTTCCTTTACACTTGTTATCATAACGATTTTTATCATTCTTCAAGAGGCACGTGTAGATTATTGTAGTGTGAAATGTCTGTACACAATTAGTTCAGTTGGTTTAATCCCACTGCTAATGAGGCCAAGGTCAAGGATTTGATCCCACTGAGTTTCTCTAGTCCACAGCTACTCCTGACCCCATCAGATACCTTACACATGTGTCTTATTAGTCCCCAAAAAGGAATGGGTGGACACAGCGGACCCACTACCTCTACTAGAAAATGCTCTTGAGTTCAGGCCTTATTGACAGTGGGTTTGGTTTTGTTTTGCCATTTTTTCCTTATCGTAATGAACAGCACATGTACTGAGGCAAAATAACTTCTCTCTAGCATACATGCTGAGAGAAAAGCTAAAGCTTAGATTCCTCCACAGAGAATATTCATTTACATGTCAGTGTTTTATAGGGTACTTTGTGGTATAGTAGGACTGGGTCCCTGATCCAGGAGAATAGTTCCAGATCCAAGATATTTGATAAATTATCGGGAGTTTAAGTGCACGCGCACACACACACACACACACACACACACACACACACACACACACCTCTGCTGGAATAATCAGCGAACTTCCATCATGAGTAGACTTGGTCATATTATGATGATCCAGGGTGAGCTAAACACTCACTTTCAGTAAAATTCTCTACTGAAAGATATCATTTGGCAAATTACATCTTCCCTGACAATAAATGTCACTCCAATGCATGGAAGCCAGAACCTTTTTAGCTCTTCACAGAAAAATGTATCTCATTCATCACTATCCACAAAATCGGATCATTTAAGGCCAAGTATTAATAAAAGTATTAGATGTTTAAATTCAGCTATCATAATTGTAAGAAAAATGCCCATATTTTTATATAAAAGTATTCTTAGTTGGCTCCCTCCTTCACACTTAGATGATTCGGTTTGTTTAGTGTCCATAAACGGCTTGTGGTAACTCACTGTTAACGTTCTGCTTTTGTTTTGTTTTGTTTTGAGTTTGCTGAAAGAACATAGTACCTCTGCAGCTACAGTTTATGAATTTGCACTCATTAATCTTCAGATGTTCCATTTGAAAATGATTTCTTATTTCCTCAAGTTCGTCCCCAGCTAATAATTCCTTATAAAATGGAATCAGCCACCAGCATTGTTCACTAATTTCCCCTTAAGATGGTATTGGTTTGCAGACTGTAACACTGGAATACAAATATTTTTAACAAGTAAAATCAAAATTTCTTCTGCACCATGCTTTGAAAATTTTCTGTGACCCCACAGGCAAACATCACATTAACACAGAATTTCTCCTTCACACATTTGGTTATAAATATTGGCACGGAGATCCTTCCAGCTTGATGGCATATATCCTGGGGGTGCCAAAAAATGTATACACATGACTTGTGTTCATCTTTTGTTATCAGTATATATTGAGTATTACAATTTTAATACAATTTTTTCCTTTCTTAAAACATGTATATATATATATATATATATACACACACACACACACACACACACACANATATATATATATATATATATATATATATATATATATATATATATATATATATATATCCCAAAAGAAAGATCTAGCACAAAACTGTTTTAAAAGTTTGATTTAGCAGCTCAGTTTTTCTACTCTTCTTTTTGTCTCAAGTAGACTTGTTCGTAATACCACTAGGCTTCTTTCATCTGTATGCTCAGCCATCAAAGAACAAAGGAGAAAAGTTATCTTTTGCAAACAGTGAGTTGCTAAAGATGAGTAAATGCTGCTGTAGTTTTCATTCCTCTCCCCAACTTTTAATCCCTGAATTTTTTCAAAGAAAGATAACCTCCTTCCAGCTGCCTTGTCCCTCCCATGGACCACCCTTTCCAGCTGCCATGCCTCCTTTTTCTGCCCTTCCCCCCACTCCCAAGGACATCTGCTCTTACTTGTCTGGTTCCCAAAGATAAGATGTTTCCCAATAGCCTAGTCAGTTATTGGCCATGAGGAGTCTGCCTCGGAAATTTAGGGGTGATACATTTCACCCAAAGATCAAAATCTAAATCAAGTTTTAGCCATTTGGGATCTTCAGATTCCAAGATTAGTTTTAGGTTTGAGGTGACCTAGGTCAAGCTCATAGAAAATAAACTTTTAGTTTCTTTGACTAAAATATGCCTCACTTGGTTGTCCCCAAATTTTTATTCTTAGAAATCCTTGCAAACTTGAATGTTATATAACTCCTGAACTTCAGCTAAGTTACCAAGTGCCTTTATCACAAAATTGATGGGGGTACAATAATATCTAATTCGTTAGGTAAAAATCAAGACATTAAACATACTTAAAGGTATGAGACCAGAGGCAGAAATTTAGAACTTCATATAAAGTCAATTCTGATAGCAAGAAACTATTTTGTTAGCAAAAATCATCAGAATATGGAATTGAATCATTAATGGATATGCTCTCTCCCCAACCCCCCCCAAAAACCCTTCTTATTAACTCAAATTGTAAAAGTAATGTCAAAATTTTGTTTTGTCACTTAGTCCACTTCTTTCTCATTCAAATATAACAAATTTTATTTGATAAAAATTGTTAATATGTAAGAAAAGAAAAAATACCAGATCCCTTTAAGTAATCTATTTTGCAGTTTTGATTTGGCTCCTTAAATTTTTTTTTTTTTTTTAGTGAAGGGTAGTATGTCAGCTATTCTGCTTGAGAAGATTGAAAGGATATTTTAAGTATAATTTTTGTCTTACAAAATAATCATTATCTCCTGTAAGTGAGATGCCAGAAAAAGGCATCTACATATTTGAAAATGGTGTCTGTTAATAGCATCAGTTCATTCTTGATCATTTCACAGTGAATCAGTCATTTATTATATAATAAACTTGTTATAGTCATTGGATTTATTATTTAATCATATGTGTGACAATACAATAAGAATGTAAAATGGCCCAAACTGGCACTTAACGGTCTATTTCTTTCTTGACTCTAATATGTTCTTCTTAGGAAGTTATTGGTAGTGTAGGAGAAAAAATGCTGAATAATGAGCAGAGATGCTTGTGAGAGCAACATATGGTAACTGGAGAAGCTTGACAATAAGTCAATGCAATAACAAGATTATTGCTGGGTTTGTATAATGTGTATTTCATATGAGCCTTTTAAAATATCCAGTACAATATTATTTCACCTCTACTGCCATTCTTAAATTTTGGTTAAAAAAAAAAAGAAATCCCAAGCCAAAAAAAAAAAAAGTTTTTCTTTCCTTTTATTTTTATCTGGATGCTTTCCTAGAATATTCATATAGTTTCCAAAAATTATTTTCCTATATTTTATCTTTCAAATAGGATGTTTGCACTGTTACACTGAATCATTCTAATGAGTCTTTTTACATTTTTTTAAAGGTTTCCTTCAAACTACTGCTGATGAGTTTTGCTTTTACTATGCAAGAAAAGATGGTGGGTTGTGCTTTCCAGATTTTCCGAGAAAACAAATCAGAGGACCAGCATCTAACTACTTGGACCAGATGGAAGAGTATGACAAAGTGGAAGAGATCAGCAGGTTCCTAAAGATAATGCTCTTTAATCTTGAAAAAAGAAAAAAGAAAAAAAAAAAAACCTGACAAATCTTGTGGTTTTGAAAGTGAATCATCTGTCTCTGCTTATATCCAGCAGCTATATCCCCCAGATGCTTTCCCCACCCCCCTTTCAGTAGTTTGCTTCTCTCAAATCATATTAGCTTAAGTGCTCTTAATGCTTAGCCCACTCATCTCCTATTATGAGCTTGGCTTCTCTATGATTCATGTGAATTTTATGAGTATAGTTTTAACCTGAGTTTTATGATTGTTGGTAGGTTATGGCTCTGTGGAAATATTCAGCACAATTATGATTAGCAAATCAGAGCTTCATAAATAGATCATAGAACTTTCTCTCTGAGCGCCTTTCGGTAAGGTTTAATTATTGTGAGTAAAGCTAGTTTTAATGATAGTCACTGAAAGATGAGGTAATGAGCTTATGAAATTTTAAAACACATGTTTTGATTCCCTCTTTTACTTTTTGATAGAAGGCTGGGTATTTTTGTTTTTGTTTTTGTTTTTTTTTCCATTGAAAAGAATTTAAAAGAATCCTATTGTGCCCTTGGGTTGGCAGCCCTTCATGATTATTAAAACCATTGATTTCAGAGGAAATACATTTTGAAAAGGATGCTCAGTGCATCCTTTGCCTCCTTCATCTCAAGAAAAGCTCACTAGTTTTCTTTCATTTGTTTAGAAAGCACAAGCACAACTGCTTCTGTATTCAGGAGGTTGTGAGTGGGCTGCGCCAGCCTGTCAGCGCCCTGCACAGTGGGGACGGCTCGCAACGGCTCTTCATTCTGGAGAAAGAAGGCTACGTGAAGATACTCACCCCTGAAGGAGAAATTGGCAAGGAGCCTTATTTGGACATTCACAAACTTGTTCAAAGTGGAATAAAGGTTGGCTTTTTAAATTTTATTTATCTTTGCTCTGGCTATTGGCTATGTTAATTTCATTTTAGTGTTATCCTCACTAAAGGTATTTCTTTATAATAAAAGAATGTTTAAGGAGAAAATGAGACAACATAAGGGAATAATAACTATGGCAACTGAATTGGGACAATGACATTTACATTTTTAATATTATTTGGTGACTATTAAGCAGTACAATCAGATTGGTATTTTTACATGTGTTCCCTATGTAATTTACACATTTAAAATAATTCTTGGTTTTATAAAGTATTTGTTTAAATGTGTAACAGCTATAATACTTAGAATTGTATATCAGCACTTGCTAGTAGAAACAAAGAGGTCTCTGGTTATTTTGGCAATTGCAAATCATTCTTTACCACATCTGCTTTTGAGTCTGTGTCATAAAGATGCTACTTATACTGTGATTTCCTTGTACAATATTTTCACAGGTAAGTCAGATATTTTTATCTATAATAAGCCATCTTTATAATAGCACATCTATTGCCTTTTTTCCAACTTCTCCAATTTGAATTTTCATGTTAAATAATCTAGTAGGTATGTAAATAAAATTATCAAATTTGTTTCATAAGAGAGTAACGCGGTATAATATTAGCAGTACTGAGCTGTAAGGGAAATTGTGGCATTCTAAAATTTAATAGCTCATGACTATTTTAGAATGAAACAAAGTAACTGCATGATTTGGGAAGAACTGGTTATCTTTTTCCATTTCTTAACTAGAGAAAATATTTAAAGGGAGGTTTATACTCTTCTACTTATATAAAAATAAACTCCTCCTTGCTTTGTTGTGCTCTACTCAAATGTAAGAACATCAAAACCAGAAGAAACAAGCTGGAAAGAATATAAATATATACCTGATATCTATGTATTCGGTATCTACCATGTAAAATAACTAGAATGACTCAATGAGAAAATAGGGAATGCCATGTTGTTGGGACCCCCCAACCTCAAGCTCATGTGACAGTATCACCAAGACAAACTGCATAAGAGAAGTGCCTTAGGGTACTTATGGTCCTTTAAGAAAAAGGACTTTGGTGCCAAGACACAGATCATTTAGAAAATCTGTGTAACTCAGTAGTTTCAACTTTCTCCCAATAAATTTTTTCATTAGAATTCACAGCAAATAATCAAAAGTCCCTTAAAAGGAAGCATTAGTGTTTTGCACATCAGAGTTCAACACATTATTCTGAAATGTGTTCTAAATAATGTGTTCTAACTCATTGCCCATGGTACCTAATGAGCAAAGCATAAAGATGGAGCCACAAGTAACTTACTCACTAGCAGTGCATTTTTGTTACTACCACAGTTCAACATGCTCTCTACAAAAGAAAATATTGGGAACAGTATTTTTTAAATCATCAACTATAATCCCGTTGATTAAAGAATAACACTATTAACATGTTGATATACTTTCTTCCAGTTTTTATGTTAAAATTAAATGACTTTTTCTGACTACAAAGGTAATACAGATCCATATTAATAAATGTGAAAACACACAAGAACATGTTTTCTTGTAGATTTTTTTCCTAAAAAGCTTTAAAATAAAATTGAAATCAAACCATGTATACATCTTTTTAGCCTTCTTTTTTTCACCTAATACTGTCATGAGTATGTTACGAGACTTGGAAATTTTTCTCAAAAACTTAGCTTTTACCTTTTTTGGATGTTTCATTTCCTTTTCATGAGATAATTTAGGATGACTCAGTCTTTTCTTTTTATCATTGTGAATAATGTTACTTATCATTCTTATATATATTATTTAACTGGATCATAGATGACTTTCTTAAAATTCATTCATAGAAAGAGCATTACTGACTTGAAGAGCATACACCATGATACACATTGTCAATTTGCTCTAAAATATAATGTGTTTTCAAATATTTGAAAGAATAATACATAGTTTTCAAGTATCATTTTAGTAAAAATGTTGGTATTAGAAAAATATGTATAATAAAGTGTAGGTGAAAGAAATTAGCTCAGAATACTTGAAAATTTTGTTGTAAGAAATAAACTGATGTTGTTATTTCTACTTGAACTGCCTAAAAAATATCTTCCTTTTAATTAGAGTTACTTCAGAGTTCCTCTTTTTAAAATTTATACCTATTCATTGGGATGTTGAATGAAAGTTTATCTTCTGCGACATTGAGACATTGCATTGTGCACTAACATGGCACAAGCCAGGTTATGACAGTGCCACGACTGGGCCGTATGCATGTTTTAAGGCCTCTAGGAATTCTGCAGAACCCCCTTTGGCCCTCCTCTCCAAGGACAGCTCCATGGCTTCTGGGGCTTAAAATAAACGTCAAAATCCGTTCTTCTTCATATGTAGAATGAGTTACATAATAGGACAGTGTAAAGTGCAATATTTTAAATTCTTTTAGTATTTGACACTTGTGATATCAATAAGATACAAATCTACCCCATGGGTATTCGAGTGTATGCTGGATAGTGAGTGACGGTAGCACATCCTTATCACCTCAAGGAGGCAATACTACACCTGGCCTTTATCTCAGTCTCCATGTCACAAGCCACAGACTGGAAGCATTAGAAGAGGCTACTGCTGGTATGATGGTATGCTGGTATGAGGCCAGTACCCTCCTGAGCTGATCATGGCCATTGATTTTTGTGCTATTCCTCTCAGAGACTTCTGAAATGAAAACATTTTCACAGCTATTGCACAGTAATTTTTCAGGCTTCTTGATACATGAATAGTTAGTGTGTTCATGGCAATATTCTGTGTTTGTCAACAATCATTTTGCATAAGTAATGCAAACAGGAATTTTCATAAATTATTGTGCAGATCACTTCTTTGCTGTTCTTTAAGCTTTAAAATCCCAAGAGAGGGAATAAAGCTGTTTTACCAGACCACAATATTGATTGCAATACCCAGATCACAGAATTAATAATGTATACTAAACTCAACATTCACATGTTTGAAATGAAAACAAGACAAACCACAGTGGGATCCCCATGATATCAGCTAATGACCAGCATGAGTATATGAAATCGGACATAAAGAGGAATTCCTGAGTATACGAGTTTCTGAAAGCTAGTGCTCGCTGTAAGGGAATCTGGAATTTCTTTTCTGCTAATTGTCAATTAAGAATTGACAGTGATTTCTGTCACATGGTAAAGGACTGACCTATTTGTGACAAGGATCTGGACTTGGTTGATCTCCTTAAACCTCTACCAGCCCTGATTCTTATATCTACCAGCCAACAGCCAACCATTCAGGGAACCTGGACAGCTCCCCCATAAATGGGTCCTAACTGAAGCTCAAAATGATGTCTTATTTTTAAACACCCATATTGTAGGAGATCTTAGTACCCTGTGAGGTTAACGGTATAGTTTCACCAAGCACAAGTTATCTGCAAAAATGCAAAACGCAGGCTAAAGAATGGACTTGTTTTTGCTCTGGGCAGTAAATTGTGCAGTTGGATTAGTGGAATAAGTTCTATGCCATATGGGTTTAAACTGCCATTTCATTTAGGAAGAGATGATTCCATTCACAATAGCTCAGATCCTAGAAGACTGAGCTTTGTGAAATTGCCAAGTAAAGAGTGAGTCAGAAGTATGTTTTTAAAATATGTAGTGATTTGATCATCCTTCGTGATAGTGCACTCACTATACATGCTAACCACTGATACTATGTGACACTGTGAAGAATGCTTCAAGCACCCAACTGGTGAGCAAACTTTAAAATTTTCATTTTGTGTGTGTGTTTTTTGGGGGGAGGGAGCGTATTCATTATTTGCTATTATTGTTTTATCCCAAAGGGGAATTCCAAGACACTGGTGATTTGAAATCTTTAAATTGATCTTATGTCTGAATTCTGAATCAGAACTTCTGGCAAGTTCTAGAACCAGCTTTATCTATTTGAAGTCCTTGGGAATGATAGACTAGTGGTTCTCAAGAATGACTACATGGTTAAATTACCTAGCAGCTTTAAATAATTCCACTGCCCAAATTAAATCAGAATATCTGGGGTTGAGACCCAGACATTGGAATGTTTTTCGAGATTTTCCAGGTGATTTCAGTGTGCAGCTAATTTGGAAACCAGGGGTCTAGACTGAGCCAAAGCCCTGGCCCAGTTACACATCAAATGAGACACACTTTCTCTGCCCAGTCTGTGCCCAAGCCTTATTACTGAAATGACCTCTGGGGTCAAATGGTTGGATACCAGTTGTCATTTGTCCTGTTCCTTTTGTCATTTCCTTGGCCTCCACATATTACTTGCCCACTTTGAGCGAAGAGATGAGTTAAGTCTGGCAGCATGTAAGATTCTTGATATGAATGAAGTACTGAAAAAATGGTAGTTAAAAATCTCAGCAATTCGAATTGGACAATTGCTTTACCCATTCCATTTTTCCTGGTTTTGGTCCCTGTTGGAATCTGGCGTTCAGCTCATTGGCAAAGCTGTTATCATTCCTGTTCCTTAAATATGTCGTTTGCTAAAAATATCTGAAAAACCCTTGTAAAAAATGACAAGGACACCAGAAGTTTTTCTAGTGTAATTTCACCAAACTTCCCCGACCACCAAGGATCTGTAAATCAGCCTCAGCCTTGCGTGTGTCCAGCGACAGAGACAAGCCTGCACCTGTCAGCTACAGGGTGGCCCCTGAGGAAACCAACAAGCGCTGATCCCTGCCCCTGAGCGCTCTGGAGCGGGCAGAGGATGGCGAGGCACGCAGCCACTGCAGCCCTTTCGGCTTGCAGCGCGCGGCAGACGAAGCTGAAAGACTTGTCTGTCATTGGAACAAGTGTGACTGGACTCCTGTCCCTCTCTATCTACTTGGATCCTCATTTCAAAAGATGCTTTTTGAAGCGGTCCTTTTACGGGGGGAGGAGAGGACATAAGGCTGAAAGCTGCAGATTGTCCGGGTGACTGAGCCCATTGAGGGGAGGCTCTCGAGAGACAGCAGCCGGGGCGCCCAGGAGCCAGAGGCATGTGGGGAGGACGCAGGGTGCACTGGGGCAAGCCCCGATGGGGCAGCCTCTGATTTCACATGCTTGTAAATCACACGCATAATTATGAGCAGCGAAAGTTTAGGGAAATCCAACAGGCTCGTCAACCCGTTGGGATTGATGTCCCACTTTTCTGAAGTTTGTCAGAGACCTAACGTTTCACATTTTCCTCTCTTTCACTTGCGATCTTATGGCAGCCCATGAGATGTTAGGGTGATTTTGTTAAAGTGAAATGAATTGGCATAAGTTAGAAGCAATTTATTTTTCAAAGCTGGTATTGAAAACATAGCACATACACATATGCGTATGGCAATGACTGGGCCATGTATCAAATTTTCCTCAGGAAAATTGTTAGAACTCTGTTTTTAAGCATGCTTTAGGTTGGAAGAAAGCAGCAAAGTATATGTGGGTTAAATATTACAAAAGAAGAATCACCATTTTGGAATGTTTTTGTATACATGGCATTTTAAAAGTTTTTGACCTACCAGATTACTGCATTAGAAATTATTAAACCTCATGTAAAAGAGAGTTGCGATAGTGGTAGAAATAACCATTAGGTAAATTTATTCTAAAAGTGTTAGAAAATTAATTGAATAGTCTTCTCCAAAATAAAATCTTTTAAATACCTTCCCTTTTTGGTAGTTTAAAATTCTGGTTTCAAACTATTAAGTTAAAATGTAAACAAAATATAGATCTACAAGCAAAATTTTGACTGCAATTATTTTTTATATCAGGGTAGTGATGCTATGGTATTAAGCCCAACTATCTTTATTTTGTTGAGTATTGCTGACACTTTATATCAAAATGCCCTGTACTCTGAAAAATGTTTTCAATTTTAAATCAATTTTCATTTTAAATCTACTTTGAATGTTCCCAGAGAAAAACAAAAAGTCCCTTAGTGACATGAAATAATTTCAGTGTAATTTTCTGTTAAGTTAGTTTTGATTTCTGGTGTTCTTATTTCTTAATTTTGGCATTTGCAATTCTATTGATAAAACATTTTTAAAAATGAATGTGCACAGACATGGTGTATGTCACTGTACAGCAGTTTATAAATATAATATAAATTATTTTCCATCCTGCGTCATGTTTTTCACTGAAGTAGCAGATGCAGTGTCCCTCCAGTTAAGCAGAGAAAGGCCGCCTTCTCCTACATTTTCGGTCCCATAAGTCACAGCTGAGGTGAGGAAAGTTTTTACATTAATGTCTTTATATTTATCTAAGACTTGAAGGGCAGAGGAAATAGAGTCTATAAATCTGACAAGTCCTATGGCAGTAATTTAACACAAGTGACCAAGAAAAAAAACCAAGAAATCTGGACCCTGAGAAGGTCTCTGTCACCTTTAAAAAAACATCTGACTGAATGCGGCAGCCACTGCAATCTGACTAGAAAGAGAAAGAGAACTAGTGGGGACACTGTTGTCATTGCTTTCCAGTGGTCATTTTACCTAACGACAAGGAAAGACCAGGCCTCACGGAACTCTCTAAATGGTAGAAGGCAGCACAGCATCCCCTTTTAGAGACCTTGCATAGCTTCTCTTCCCCAACACTGTGGTCTCCAAGCAAGCCATGTGATAAGCAAGGATACTCTCGTCTTTATTACAAATCAGAACCACCATTTTTTAAGCGCCTACTGTGCTAAGCTACTACATAGATGATTCTGTAATCCTTACAGTAACCCTGTGAGGCCAGTGTTACTATCCCATTTCACAGATGAAAAGACTTGGGTCCAGAAGTTAATTTAAGTAAACTGTCCAAGATAACACAGCTAGCAAATGGCCAGTGCCGACTTTCAGGGCAATTGTTTGATGTCAGGCTCTCAACCACGGGACTCTACTGCTATAAGCCTTTGATCAGCAGGAATGCATAGGCGGAATGACTAAGGAGAACGTTCCAGAAACAGGTTGGTGCCTGTTAGTGTCAGCACACTCAGTATTGCTCGTCTTGACTTGAGGGACCAGGAAGAGTCCGAGGGCCCAGATCTAGGGTCAGGTGTACAGACCTGGGCTCCAGGCACTGCACCCACACCGTGGGCTGGTCGTTGGCCGCGGGTACATTATTTCACCTCTCTGGGCTTAGTGTCTTCATCTGTAGAATAAAGATAACCAAAGGTTGCATATAACACTTCACATGCACGATCTCACGTGAAGCTGACGTACTTTGCAAGCATTAGCTGTCATCATCGTCTATCTGACTATTGTGGGAAGGAGGGGAAGGAAAGGCAAATGTGCCAGCCCCCAGCGTGACTCACAGGCTCCAGTGGCCGCTGGAGCTCCCTGGTTTTAAGGGTCCCCCTAAATATGGGACTGAATGATAACTTACGGAAATTCTGTGATAGTGTTAGCATGTTTGCCCCCAAATTAGATGGCAATCCCTTGGAAACAAAGTTATATTGATGTATGTGTGTGGGTTTTCTTTCATTCAAGCAGATCAACCTAGAATACACTGTCATTTAAATGTCTCACTACAGGAAGACAACACCTCCATTTTTACAGCATCCCGTTTTGACACTAGGTGCATGGCACTGCTACCTACCTCATTATGCAAAAGCCCCCAGGTCTGGAGTTTGTCAGAGCACAGGCCTAACTATGATTAAGCACAAAGCAGCTGACCCGTGGGTACAGCAGTAACCTTTCATCAGAATTTCCTTGCTTTCATAGTAGTTTTTCTCAACCTGGATATTATAGTAATGTATGTCTTTTTTGTGTGTTTATTTTGGAACACGGTTTGTGTCAATCGGCCCTAGCGTTTAAAAAATTGTAGGATTTGCAAAGGAAATATACTGGGACTGAAAGCTAAGAAGGCACATAGTTTTGCCCACTAGCAACTATTGATTTAGAATCTCAGGATCTGAGAGGGCAGTAATTGGGCAAAGTTGCTGTAAAATTAACATGTAATGTCATGATACAGAGAGTGTATTACTCAACAACAAAAACGTTTTTTAAAGCAGACTGGTAAAATGTTTCAGGTTGTCAGGGATGGGAGAACTTGAAAGGACGTTTTCAAAGTGAAAGAACAGCAACAAACATCACTTAATTGATTTGCGAAATGTGCTGGAGATGAGGTGCTAAGGCTGCATAAACGGAATGACCTCAGCCACCTCCCTTTCGGAACCCAGGCTATTGCAGACACTGGTCCCATCACAGTAACTCAATATTTTATAGAAAATTTCCTCAGTCTATAAACATGTTTGCTCTTTGGTTTGTGTTTACCTTTCTATGACCAATTTTGGGAGTTTGTTTATGTGGCATTTTGCTTTTGCCAGGTTTCTTTCATTTTTATATCTACATAATAAATATATACAGAGACCTATTGATATAACATATAATATTTATATACAATAAATGTTATCAATTACTACAATATATTTTAATATATCTGTATTCACCAATCAACACTTAGTTATTTTAGAGTCTGTAAAGTCTATGATTATATTGAACTATCATAATGTCAAGGTGGCCAAAACTGGAGACACACCTAACGTGTTTTTTAAAAAATGGGTCACTGCCTAGAAATTAAAATCAACTTTGGGTTTTTCAGTCAAATATGCTTTGAAAAATAAAGTGCTACTTATCAAGACCATTCTTTAATGTGCTATAATGAGAAAAGTTTGAGGAAATCTTTTTCTAAATCATGTAACTTTTTATCCTTGCATGACTATGTGATACCAAGTGACAATGCATATGGTCACAGTGGCTCTCAGGAATTATCACCAAAAGGGAGGTAAAAATTTGAATCTTTTAACTAGTGAATTTCCATTTTACTCTATATGGGAATGCCATATACAATTTAATTTTAAGTTCATCCATTCACTCATTTTAAAATATTGCTTAATTCCATAAGCCTAAACTCCAAATCACAGAAACTCTATTAAGAAATCATTATTTGTTTAAGATAAGATATATACTCATTACTCTATCATGCATATATGTGGCAGAACAAGAACAGAAAAAGAGAAAATCAGTGACTTTGATCTATCTTAATTCCATCATTGCTAGCAGTTGAAATTATTTAATCTGAATATAGAATGGAATCCAATAAATTGAAGCTAATACAGATATAATAAACACTATGACAAAGGATCTTAAAGATTTGTATATTGCCACAAAATTCTTGAGAAAAGAACATGCCTTTCAAATATTCAAATATCAAATATTCTGGCTTTCTCTTTCAGAGTAGCTAAATTCTTTACCTTTTTTTTCTTCTTTTATTTGAATAAGCTGTTTCTAAACCAACCTCTTATCCGCAAGCACCTTTGATCCAAATGGATCACAAACTTAAATAAAATGATATCTGTTCTCAGGCTGTTTCTAGATAGGGAAACTGCATCTCTTCTGAGAACCCTTAGCCAACAATTTGAAACCGTTCAGAACTCCTTAAAAAAAGACAAGAAAAAAATTGTGTACATAGTGTGAATGGAAGATGTTTGAGGTTGGAAAAAATTAGGAAAGCACTATTCTTAAGGGGATAAAAAGATAACCGGATTTAATTCCCATTAAAATGTTAGCCTTTCCATGAAAGATTTGGTGAGGAGACTCCCACAGTGCAAATGTATTTGTGGATGGATGGGAACACACCTGTTCAACAAAAGTGAAACAAAACCTGAACTGACTTCCCTCCACACACAGGTCACCAAACATCTGTCATAAGTTATCAATTACTAGCCAAGACTGGACTCCAGCCTGTGACCTGAGGTTGAAAAAGCCACACGGCTCATTCTCCCTCTTACGCAGTCTGTGGTTTTTCCCTGAGCCACCATTAAAGCTTCTGTTTAAATCTTCAGGAGTTTGGAAGATCAGATTGACCCCATGACATTAATAATGTATCTACGCCCTGGGTTTCTGTACGCATCACCCTGGGGCTGATCGTAGTTAGCATTCTGTGACTTGCAGTAACGTGGCGAGCTCCAAAAAGATTTACCCAATAGCTGGCATAGTTCCTTAGCTGCATAAGTTTCTTAATTGCAACCTAAAGACAATGTCTCCTTGTCTAAGGAAGACTGTGTGTGTGTGTGTGTGTGTGTGTGTGTGTGTGTTTTACAATTTTGACTTTGATTAAATGTCAATACATATAAAACTTCTGCACAAAAACAACAGAAAACCTCTTCTGGGCATGACTGACTAGGTGAGCTTCTTCTCTTGTAAATAATTATTAGAGGCACTACTAAGTAAAACTTTTAGTGACAGCATCAATTGTCAAGACCTTTGATCCTACTGTGTTGCATTCCTGGCATAGCCCACCTCAGGGGGATGTGGCCACAGCACACATCCGCTGCCAAGACAAGGGCACCAGTTTTGCCAGTCTGTGTGTGACTTGGAGCAATCTCTTAACCTTCTGGAGTCCCTGTGTCCTCATCTTTGAAGTCTGAGGACTAGGCTAACTGACATCTTAGGTCTTTTCTAGCTCTAAAAGAGAAAGAGAAAGCGGTACAAGTCCCCAGCTGTTTCCAAGAGAACTATGGGTAGAGAGAAGTGGTCATTGTGGCCCAGACACTGGAACTCCATGCCTGCTCAGGCTCATTGTGGGGCATACTTTGCTTTTTTCTGTTTTGTTTTGTTTTCCCTTTGGTACTGACCCAGAAACCTAGTCAGTGTCTCCCAATGCAGAGACCACTGGGCATCCTACCACACGGACCAATAGGTGCACTCTCCATTCTGTATGGTCACCATCATTCCAGCTAAACTTTTAAAAGCTGTATACCTTAGCCTAAGTGAGACCAGTTTTCAGTTAACGGCTGCATCATGTCTACCATATGTAGGGATAATAGGATGGTCAGTTTTCAAACCTGGGTTTGAAGGTGAAGCTATACTAGGACCTTGAAGTGGGCAGTGCCTGGTGCCCTGGGGAGGAGACCGGTGCGGAGCTGAGTGAAAGAGGGGGACAGTGGTCATAGGAGATGAGCGCTCAGAGTTGAGCTTTTGTGTGTTGGTGGGTGAGGGGAGTGCGTGTCAGATAATAGAGGGTCTATATGTTCAACAAAGGTCTTTGGCTTTTACTCTGAGTGAAATGGGAATCACTGGAGGATTCTGAACAGAAGAGTGACATGATCAGAACTTAAACTTTGAAACAAGTCAAGAGCAGCCATGTCGAACGTCGACTGGGAGCGGCGCGAGAGGAAGCAGACCCGGGAGAGCGTGCCCAGCTCTGCTAGCGATGTGCTTTCTGCCCAGAGGCCAGTCCCTGATCACGCCAGCCTCAAGTGTTCACCTGTAAACTGAGAGGGTCTGTAATAGCTGAAGTTCCTTTCAATTCCTATTTTCAGTGGGCTAATACTTTAAGGAGTATTTAGAAATTTACCCTATGAAACGTAAGCATTTTTACATATGGTGTTTACTAAATTTATACCTTCTTTCCTATAGTTTTAAGGCACAAAATTTGAAACTCAGTACATTAGCAACATAGGATTTAATGGGTTCTGGTGAAAGATTGTAAAATATCAATTATAGTAATATATGGTAATATAGGAAAATATCAATTATGCAATAGAAAGAAGACGGCTCACTCTATGATAGTTGTAATAATTCATGAAAATGGTAACCACAGTTAAAGACTCCTTTGGGGAAATGCACATTTAAATAGAAAAGGAGAGGGGTCAGATGATTATTTTTAAAAGGATAATTATACTTGGATTTAGGCTATAAAAGGCCCAAATCCAGGTATCTTGAAGTCAGAGAGGATTAAAATGATGATGGAATACAAAACTATGAACCTCTAATAAGAAGGATATGCAAATGTTGTTGTAGGCAATTTCCAACTCTTTAAATTGTAAAATCACGACCTTCCTTATAAAGTACCCATCCTTCACTCTTGAAAGTAGAATATTCCCGGATACATCATCAGTGAGTTTCTTCTTTTTGTGTTGGCAGTTGAACCTCATTTAGCTAAACAATCTTTCAGGCTGTAAATTAAGCTGGGGGGAATAAAACTGGTTCCTTTTCTACCTGCATGTGAATCTGCAGAAGTTAATTTGGTTGTAGACAGAGTAAACTAGATGTGAAAAATTGAAAAGGGAAGGAGGAGAATGTGTGATCATTTCACTTAAACATGTAAGGATTTCAGGGCTCTGTGTTTCCTTGAGAGAAGTCCCG